GTCATGCAAAGTTTGGTCAGACAGGGATCATAGGCGTGGCTGTGCATAATGGACAGACAGACAGAGAGACACGCATACATTCGGAAAAATAGCATGGAAGATTCACATTTGTAATTTCCACCCAACCCCACAACGGGTTACAACCTCGTAGCACTGTAACAATTCTAATCAAGTTGTTAATAGCCCGTGAGAAAGCGCGGAAAAATTTTAAGGCAATGAATGCAAACATGGCAAACATGGGGGGGGGGGGGGGGGGGGGGGGGCCCCCCCCCCTGGCTCTTCCCCGGGCAGAGCGGGGGGGGGGGGGGGGGGGGGGGGGGGGGGGGGCGGTCGCCACCCTCTGGATCTTCCACTGGCCATGAGACGGCAGGGTGCGACAAAAGCACCAATTTCTTGAAGGTCTGCCCACGTTAATCGCGATGTCAAAGGCAGGGTCGAAAGGGGAACTGACGCCGAGCGAAAACGAAAGGCAGCACGAAAGTCAAGATGTTACCTTAAATCGTCGCTTTGTAGGAGAATGTGGAGTGTGGGCTTTTATTGGCGGCCTCTCGCTGTTCTGCGGACATCGTAACCCCGGCGCGCACGTTTCCGAACGTTAATGGCCAAAGGCCACGCTGCCTCAACCTATTACTATGGTTATGGGAGAGCACATGCGATCGCTCTTTGCGCACACGTGTGTCGTGTGCACGCTCGCTTGCTACCGACCACCACCATCTCCTTATTGCATAAAATAATTGCCTCATTCTCGATCGCTTTTTTCCCGCCTAAAGCTGTGAGCAGTGGGGACGATACTACAACGCTTAAGGCCCGTTCACATTGTCCTTCGGCGAGGCCTCGCCGCAGCCTCGCCGAAGGTACAGCGCAGACCAGTCTGAACGTGCCCATAGAAAAGAATGGAACGAATGTCTACGCCGAAGCAACGCCGCAGCTGCGGCGCACCTACGCAAGGAGTTCGAAGGAGCCAAACTTTTGTTACGGATAGCCAATGAGGAGTTGTTGACGTACTTACGGAAAGCCAATAGGAACGCCGACTGATATGGCGGCCAGCACGAGCTCTGAAAAGCCTGAATCAGCCTAGCCTATATGATTGACTCTAGGCTTGTGTAGTCGCTTATGGTCTCAAAAATGCCCTTCCAACAAATATCGTTATCGTTATTTCAATACCAGGTCTACTACCGGTTTGTGTGATAGGCGTTGCCCGCCTAGTCCTTGTCAAGCAAAGCTGGATACACAACGACCTGTTGAGGTCGGCCTAAGTTCAAAGGAACGGGAGAAGGGAAGGGGAAAGAGTAGCCTGACGTTGGTCTAAGGTTGGCATAAGGCCTTAGTATAAGCCTACACTCAAAATTAGGTTGTGCCAACTATGATAATGGGACCATTAGATTCGGCGTACACCGTTTTCGGATTGAATTCGTNAGAGTAGCTTGGCGTTGGTCTAAGGTTGACATAAGGCCTTAGTATAAGCCTACACTCAAAATTAGGTTGTGCCAACTATGATAATGGGACCATTAGATTCGGCGTACACCGTTTTCGGATTGTTAAGCATGGAAGGGGACATCGTCTCTTACATCTTTTGTTAAAGGTCTTTCAAGACGATGCAGTCTACTATCATTACCGGTGGATTCTAGAGAGAGTAGGTAAAGAGTTTAGAGAGAGTAGGTTTCGCAAAGCTCATCTCCTAAGACTTTTGGACCACCCTGTATATTCAGGAATGATATCTCCATGAATGAACAACGTTTGCCACTGCAGTTGCGGTACGAAGTGTCTAAATCGATGATAGCCGTAATGGCTGGAATTATTGATGAACAGCAAGCAAATGTACGTAGAGAGAGTAGGGTCGCTCAGACCGTTGAACAGCAAGAGGCAGCGAATGCTGAGCTCCGGAATAGGAGAGCCGTGCAGCCTGCTGCGCAACTTGATGCAAGGAACGCAGCAATCAAGTCTCGAAAGCCAGGGGGCGGCCGGGAATTGAACCCGGATCTTTTGTTTGCCGGTTAGGTGTGCTACCATTACACCACAGAACTCAGAGCATCTCCATGTCATCTCAAATCACTACAGTCGTTTGCCGCAGCAGGTACTGTCAGACTGTACATTTGATGAAGGAGGGGGCATTTGCTTCACATTGCTGGAGCAACGGAAAAATGCTCCTGCTGCAACTCACTCTTTACCCTGACGTTCTGAATGTGTTGCTCACTGGTGCAAATGTGTGGGTGAGGCATTTTTAGGAATTAGTCGTTAGCATTGTGCCGCACGTGCATTAACTTCCCTCTGTGCCGTCGGACAAGTTCTTGGAAATGGTCCCTGCTGTTTCAGAATCATTGGTGTCTGTACCATACGCTAACGCTAATAGCCCATGCGCTAATTGGTGATCCAAGAGTATTGAATGTGCTTGGAATACGAAATCAGCAAAGTCGTATTTGCGTCTCATGAAAACGTGCTAAACCGAGGCGTTCACAATGGCGATTGTGGCAATGAGCTTGAATATCATGATGATGATGTTTAAAAACAGAACCTCCCTGTGTACTGTAAGTTGTATGTGTATAAACGTAATGAAGCAGTTCAGTTACGAATGGGTAATGCGATGGACAAAGGATTGTCAAGGAGACGTTATGCTCACAAAATTCCACCTATTAGACGGCATGCGTAGCGGCCGCAGGCCGCTAGTACAAATAAATATCCCTCGCACAAAAAGGTAAAAGGGCATTGTATGATTTTTTGGCACTATTTATGCGTACATGCAGAAAACTAAGCAACTTTTTCCTGCAGTTTAAGACCCCTTATTTTACACTCGTAACGCATGTTCACTTTAATTTATGATTGATCACACATCTCAGACCCACAGTCTCTGAATACAGTCCCCCAATCACGTGCAATGCTACTCAAAGCCAAAAGTGTTTCAACCTGCTTTCCCCAACAGGTCCATAGTCAGGTAATGATTTCGACTACTTTGTCAGTCCTCATTGCACTGAATGTTTTCATTTTCAGCAGCTGGGCCTCCATTATTATGTTTCAACGTACGCAGCATGTCCTAGCAAATTTCACACTTACCTGGAAAACCTTGAGTTGTTTTTTGAGAAGTAACCATATTCCCCCAACAACAGGGGTAATATGGCCTCTTCAGAACGACTTGGTAAAGATTCAAAAGAGCAAAATCCATGCGGTTTTTTGCATGTGCCTGGCTGAGATTTAGTAAAGGAGATATGAATCAGTATTTTAGAAACATTGTAAAAGTCCAATTCGACCTTGATGGGACATTATGACCAGGTTTCATTTTGTAGGGCCATATTCCCCCAAACTACTCCACTGTAGGGACTTACAATTGCTGCTCGGGATGCCGCCTGTTACCTTTCTAAAGTGCCGACTGCCTCTCTTTCCGCCGACTCTTTCCTTATTTATTTAGTTAATGCCCGAGCATTTTTGTCCGTGGGCGAGTCCTTGATCATTTCGTTTGAATTCAAATACTCTGCCACTGTCCCACTTTTCTCACAAGAGTCGATGGAGGTGCATTGTAGCACTTCAAGTTTGGATCTTTTGGTCTGGGAATTCCTGGCCAAGGCCGACTAGGGGCCACCGGAATGCCAACTAACTTCAATTACATCTTGATAATTGTAAAGAGTTAATTTCAAGGATGCTTCTTCTACTTCCTCAGAGATGCTTCTCGAAAGGTATCATGATTGATGTCTCATTGAGATAGATAATCAAGTAAGAACTTAGTGAATAACATCCCACAAAGGAAGCTTGAATCTTGGAGTACCTCGACTATAGCGTTTCGTCTTCCAGTCGATGAAATTACTGTTCTTGCGTGTCTGGGAAGTTCTAATTTATGGAGAGGTCTGCAACCTCTAGTGATTTTCCTGAGAGCGTGGCATCGCAAGCATCAGCCATATCGATCCGTATTCTATTGGTGTGATGAGTGAGGTGTGCGGTTTTTTACTAAACGATTGTCCTTTTTCGTATTCGGGAAAACGGTATCGAATATGATGGGCTCATGCTCTTGAAATACATACCACGCTATAACCAGGGTTAACCGGTCGCCCTAAAAACAAAACGTAGCCAGGAAAGCAGAACGTAACCAGGGTCTATGGACCGGTGGACTCGCCTTTGCATTTCCTGTGGTGGCTGACTGTCCTCCGAACGATGCACGCGGTGGACAAAGTTGAGGCTTTCACCTCGAGACCCCAGGGAAGTTTACGAAATGGCTCATCCCTTAATGTCAATACTTAATCGAGGCCGATTCATTCTTTCCGGAGGCAGCGTAAATCTTGCTGGAAAACTTGAAAGGACTTCCGCCTTTGCCGACGTGTTGCCCAAGTTAAATTCCCACAATCCCGGAACCATCCATCAATGATAACATATTTTGCACAACCAACTGTCGGCTTTTAAGGAGTTCGAGGCGTGGTGTGAAATCGGCACATACGGAAGGCCGAAATTTGGCATTCCAGGAGTTTCCAACACCTCATTAATGGCTGAAACTAGCCTTAAATTCCTATCAATGACTGCATATTTTCTCTCCTCGAATCCGTTTCATCCTTCCCTTTTTCGTTCCACTCTTTGCGGTTTTCACTTCCTTCCCTCCCATAATTTTACCAGTGAAAACGCACTTCCTCCAATAATCTGATTATTTTATTTTCCTATTTTCAGGCATTCATTAAGTTCATTTAATTAAAATTGTTCGTGACTTTAATTGTTTTACTCCCTCTCCACTCAGATTTGTATATACTAAAGGTTGTATTTTATATTGGAAAGGTTTTTTTTATTGTATGAGCAGAAGCTTTTATCATCAGGAAACTCAAAATTCAAACATAATTTTATGATGTACATTACAAGAGATTCAAACAACCGAAATTCTGCCTTAGGGACGGCAATATAAGCCACTTTTCATTGTTTCCATTTTAAAACGATATATTTTGTCAGGGGCATCATGAGACAACGGGAAAAAATAAAAAAATTCAGCGGATTCCTGCGACTCTAGCAGAAGCTTGAAGAAATGAAGGCCATAATACAAGGCTCCACAACTTTATTTATGTTGTGATAGGCGAGTGGCCGACTTATTCCCAGGTCTTGACAGCGAAGCCGTGTTGATCTGAGTTGAGAGTGATCTTCTTGTCGGCGTAGCACCCTCGCCGGTAGGACCTGACCGTAAAGATGCCGTACTCGTCCAGATTCGGAGCGAATCCCACGTACTGTCCGGGCTGGACCCGGATGCAAGCTCGGTTCCCGCTGAAGTTCGTGGACCTAAAGGACGCACCGAAAAATTTTCAGTTGGGGGGGGAAAAAAACTCGAATCCAACAGAAGACGGAGACGTACGTGTAGACGGTCCAATAATTTTGGCCCGTGATGATGAGGGACCCCACCGTGGACATCCCGCTTGGCACTTGGGTGTTGTCCGTCCAATCGTAGTATGCGAGCCCAAGGAAAAAATAGAACTGGAAAAGCGTGATCGAATTCGCTTTCCAGTTGTTTTGGTTTCCGACAAACCTGCAGAACATTTACATTCACGAGACTTCCGTAGGGGTAAAACCATACAGGGAATCACTTGGACTCACCTGAGAGACGAGACTTGGTTGTTGACGTTATTCAAGTTATGCATGTAGCCATCTCCATAGACCCATTCTACTCTTCCTTCGTTCTGGTAGTTGTAGAAGTATTCGCTGTAGAATATCCAACTAGAAGCGAGAGAGCATCGAGAAAGGATGACCGAAACCGTGAATCTGTGTTTCATTTCGGATCTCGAGCAGAAATCATTCCAGTTCAAGATGTAAATTTTCAGATATTGGCCGAAAATCCCAGGAAAAAAAGAAGAGATAATCTGCTTGAGCTTTCGCGGAGTTAAGTTTCAAGTGTCCTTCAACAGCCGAAAAGATGAAGAGGCTGCTATACTGCTTTCATCGATTCCATTACCCGTGAAACTCGACAAGCAGGAGAGAAGCTGATCTGATGATTGAACTTGCGATCTAGTCTTCCAAACTCAGCTTTTAAATTTTCTGGATGTCCTAATGATCCCATAATAGATTCCGGGCCAATCCGATTCATTGCATACCTTACAAGGTCATGAACCCAGCCGATGAATCAGTAGATAGCGTACATAGCGAAATTAACGGGGATACGAGGTAATTAGTTCAATTGTGTCCTTCGATGGGGACTCCAGCTTAGGGCAGAGAAATTCCTTCTCTTTTTTGGAAATTCAAAGGGTTGTCCCTCATATGTTGTGCGTATTGTTATGCAGGAATGGGAATGATACGTCAAAAAGTGTGGATAGCTGGTGAAGGTGCGGTCTGCCTTTTTAATTCCGGCACATTACTTATGAAAGAATTAAGGGGATTTACACGAGTAGCATCACGATTTTGCTCTTTATCGATGTTGTTTAGCGCCTGCGAATCACTGGACCCACTTTCACGCGTCGTGCTGACTTTCACCTGCATTTTTGTTTGCAAATGCGTGGTTGCGAAACCCACGTTTCAACCGCTTCAGCTTGTGACCTGACTTGACCTGATTTTTCCCCCAATGGACTCGTCTGAACGAATTTTGTGACCCAGGCGAACGTGCCAATTCATTTGGTGCAGCCCATTTAAGTGCCTTTGATGTCTCCATCGATAAAAAGAGAAAACAAGAACACCCGGCAGGGTGTTCATTGTTGATAGCTCAATCTGCTATCAGGGTAGCAGATTGAGATGTTCCCAGGAAAACGTTTTCCTGCAAAGAGATAGACAAATCCGAGATAGGGAGGAACGCCCAAACCCGACTTCGTTTCGAATTCTTGTTGCCAACTTGACGAAAACTTAGTCTTCAATTAATAGAGCGGTTCATCTCACAAAGGCCGACGTGGAACGGCTGAGTGACCCTCACGATCCATAGACATTTTCTATGCACGTCGGTTGTGTGGTGGGAAGTGCTGGCATCTAGTAGAAGATGAATTCATATGCGCATCGAGCAAAAGGCAATCGATCTGTTCATAGCGGATCGACCTATGACGAGTAGATTCTGGACCAACCCATATGTAGAAATCTACTGTAATGCACGCAGCACCTTCACAATTTTATAGCGGCAGAATCTGTCGCTCGCAATCCACGTAGAACTTCATCCGAAGAGGAAGGTTCTCCTTCCTCTTCGAGGAACAACGAGGACGTGGCGCGAGTGGAAACGTCATTACAATAATATGGGGATAACAAATCAAACAAAAAATAGAAAATAACTCACATGCCGGTGACGCGAGTGCTAGAGATCATATTGTCCGTGATGTAGGTGTCGCAGTACCTGAAATCCGAACAACTTTCCGTCCTACCGCTCCAGGCTCCTAAGTTGCTTTGGTTGGGTAGATCGTAGATGTAAGCAAGCTGCCTCTGAGCCCAGCTACCTCCTAGGCTCAGCAGGAGTGCAAACAGAACGGATTTCATGATGTTGCGGTTTTCTTCCACTTCTGAAGTCGATTGCAGGGTTTCTGGTTCCACAGGGGGGGCCTGTCTTGTTTTTATTGGGGAAAATGTTCCCAGGGGACGGAATGGGGATCTGATATCGTTCGCCTCCGGTGTCCTTGATGTTAAATCGGGATTTCCAGGGAGACTTACGAGGGGAAGATACGGACGGAATTTACCGTCTCAGTCGTGAGAAAATACGAAGATAAACCAAGGATCCATTGAAGCGAGACCGCACTTGAGCACCAGGTTTTGCGAATATCCCTCAGAATCATAATATGGTACGGAGTTCCATGCCCATCCCGCGTTGGGTATCGCTGGATTCGTGCGAATACCTTTCATTTATTTTATTTCATTTAATTTTATTTTCCGTCAGCTCACAAAGAGCTTGATGATAGAATTGGGACTCGGGAATTCACTTTCGTACTAACTAATTCGACGCTTAGGTCACCCCTGAGGCCAAAATAAAAACTACATAAATATTGCATGCTATGTTCATACAATCAAAGATAGATATCAGCGAGATATAATTAAACGACCAGGGTGTTAAAATAGCTACGCCACTGAAAATGCCGATGGTCTGAATTGTCACATCTTAAATCTGTTTATTTTCATCAAATTTTTGCTTTTACAGGGGCCATTTTTTGCGTATTATAACCGAGCTACTTCATGTAAAATGATGTAATCGCGAGCTAAATCATCTTCAGATATAATTAGGCATAGTCTCATGCTCCTTTCTCTCATACATTTGAATATGCCACGCCTAAGGTAGAATAATGGTAATATGTTATGTCAGTCACACAAAATGAATAACTTTCCATTCATGCCATCACTGTTGGGGATATATCCACGAATTGAACATTTTCTCATACCCCAGGTCCTACTCCTTCTCATGGGTATTTCGCTTTCTTGATGGGACGATGTGTAGTCTCGGAAAGGCCGTGACTAACATAACATGATAGTGTAACTAACATAACCAGTCAATAAACCTCTCTAGTTCTATGCACGCCCATCTTCAGGTAAAAAGGTATTGTGGCAAAGTCTCGAATATATCCCAGCAAGTCAATGTAAATCGTAGTAAAGAAAGCAACTGGAGGGAAGGAGAAAGTAGAGCGCCGAAAAGCCAAGAATAAAATAATCTTTATTAGCGGCCAAATTTTAACGTTACGTGTACATAGGGCTGGCCTGCTTAGTAGCAGTTGTTATGGCATTACACCAGTCTTTCGCTGAAAAGTAAATCACTGCCTGAAAATTATTAGCGTGTACTCGTCAAACTTTGAGCGCTGTGCACATGCCACGTCAGAAGTAGGCCTATATTTATGTTATCCTTATTGATTTTCTCCATGCCATTTGTAAATGTCAGATTTCCCTTGATAAAATACGAATTGATTACACTATGCATGTCATACAGTCTCTGAAAAAAACATGAGAAATGTACCAAGGCTTACGCGAAAACGAAGTTACAGAGCAACGAGTAATTGAAATGATTCCTCCAAATTAAGTGTGTAATGCAGCAGGAATTTCCGCGGTGATTCAGATATTCTCGTGTGGGCTATACCTGCTTTAATCATTGCTTCATCATAACTAGCGAAACACGACTTTCAAAATCACTACAGCCCTCAAAGTAAAATGTCCTAACAGTTCGTTCCCAGAGGGTCAAAGAGGGCGTAACTTTCTGTTGCGTTACACCCTCTTGAAGCATTTTCATCACCCAGTCTCATTAATGTTGCGTGAGCCTTAGAATTTCTCTAATGTTTTTGGAGACGGTATGACATACACAGGGGAATCAGCAAATTTTTTCCTCTGAAAAGCTGAAATTCACATTGAGTAACCTAATTAAGCATTTTCCTGACGTGGCACGTGCACAGCACTTCAAGGTCGGCGAGTATACGCTCTTTCTTTTCACGCGATATTACATCAAAAGACAGATACGATGTTATCGCAAATCCTGTTAGGTGTATGAGCCCTAAATTACTTAGTTAAATTTCTTTCGGACGCTGAGATAGATCGAACTGCTGCTGAGGAAGGCATGAAGGCATTGCGTTTCGAAAGCGGAAGGATAGTGCCTTTATTGTAAGGCACAGGGAAACATCTAACAACGGGACGAGAATAATGAGAGAGAGGAAAAAGAATGATGTATGCAACACGTTCCTGGTAAGTATACCTTAATAAATCTGAGTGGGTAATCGAATAATTTCTCCAGATGGCACGTCCATGGATAGGTATTTCGAGGTATTTGAACATTGACGGAGAAATCTCCATTTAAGACCAAACATTCTAAAGGGAAAGCAATGCAGCAATTAAATAGAGTCACAGCGACAAGATTGACTCAACGTCGCCTTTTTCATCTAGGGACATCTTGTGCATGTGACCTTCATTGCATATTGGTAGAACATAACTTGGAGAAGGTACATGGCAAATTGGGTTGCATGAAGAACCCTAGATTAAAAGTATTCATGAGGAACATTAGATGTGGGAATTGACTTGTCCTTTTATAGTTACGTTAGTCATACATGCTTCATGCAACTCCACTAGCAGAAATTCGCATTGATTATGTGTGCTGAAGCGCTGGATAGCAAATACGAGATGGAGTCTCTATGAGCGAAAAATATTTATAAAGAGGGATGAAAACTGGACGAGAAAATTGAGTATATATATATGTACTCCGCGTCCGATTGTGACGTTAGTCTCGATGGGATCACCCTACCATGTAAAATCATAATTCTCAATCTTAAAAATTGTCCATATGAATGACACTCATCTTGTCCTTCATTTTGTCGCTCATCTGAAAAAAAAATCCCTCTGGATAAGCATCGCATCTCTTCTCAGACGAATCTGCTACAAGCAGATGTCTTTCTTCAAAAATTTCCAGGAATGATATATTCAGGATTGAAATCTCCATGAATGCATTGCTCAACCGGGAAGACGAAACGGATGTTGCCTAAGAGCAAGAATATATTCCGGATTTGAAGCCCATTATGGGAGAAGTCACGTTATAAGCGGGCTCCAGGTTAAAGAGACGAAAAAAGCAACTTTTTTAATGAAACCAAAAAGCACCAGAATGATCAAACCTCGAATAATCCGGTTAAAGAATGAAAAAGGTTTGTCAATGATTCTCTATATCAGGGGTGTCACACTCAAATCGGTCGGCGGGCCGTATTCCTTACCCTGCAGATGCCTGCGGGCCACACCAATAATTTTTCACTGAAATTTGCGCTGACAGACTATCCAAGCGGAAATTTCAAGAACAGACGGTAGGATGAACCACCTCCGCATGCTGGATCCAGCCCGCGCGCCGTATGTTTGACACCCTGACATATTTAATGCGCGCATTCCTCATCGCTAGAAAAGACTGAAATGAAATACTGACTCCCCTTCCCTGGAGGCTATGCTTCCCGGAAAGAGACTATACTGTAGGGACTTGCAGTTGTTGCTCGGGATGCCGCATGTCGCCTTTCCAAAGTGCCGACTGCATTTTCCTTATTTATTTAATGCCCAATAATTGTTGTCCTTGTTCAAATCCTCGATCAGTCCCTTAGATTTCGAATACTCTGCCACTGTCCCACTTTCTTCACACGAGTCGATGGAGGTGCATAGTAACACTTTGAGCTTGGATCTTTTGGTCTGGGAATTCCTGGCCAAGGCCAATTAGGGATCTCGGGAAATGCAGACTAACTTCAACTACATCTTGATAATTGTAAAGAGTTAACATCAAAGATGATTTAACTCACTTCCTCAGCTGACGCATCTCGAAATGTTTCCTGAATTGATGTCTCATTGAGATAGATAATCAAAAAAGAACTTTGTGAATAACATCCCACAAAGGAAGCTTGAATCTTGGAGTACCTCGACTAAAGCGTTTCGTCTTCGAGTCAATGAAATTACTGTTGTTGCCTGCCTAGGAAGTTCTAATTTGTGGAGAGATCTGTGACCTCCAGTGATTTTCCTGCGAACGTGGCATCGCATGCATCAGCCATATAGATCATTAGTCCGATGGAGTGATAAGTGACGCGTGCGGATTTTTATTACTTAGGCATACGATTGTTCTCTTTCATCTTCGGGAAAACGGCATCGACTCTGATGAGCTCTTATTCTTGAATAACGTACCAAGATATAACTAGGGTTAACCGGTCGCCCTGAAAAACAGAACGTAACCAGGGTCTATGGACTGCTGGACTCGCCTTTGCATTTCCAGTGGTGGTTCCGACTGTCCTCCGAACGATGCACGCTGTGGTCAAAGTTGAGGTTTTCACCTCAAGATCCCTGGCTAGTGTGCGAAATGGCTCATCCCCTATTGTCATTACTTATCCGAGGTCGATTCATTCGTTCTGGAGGCCGCTGAATTCTTGCTGGAAAGCTTGAAAGGACTTCCTCCTCAGTCGACACGTTGCACAAATTAAATTTCCGCAACCCCAGACTCATACATCAATGATATAAGTTTTTGCATAACCAACTATCGGCTTTTAAGGAGTTCGCGGGGTGGTGTGAAATCGGCACATATGGAAGGCCCGAAATTTGACATTCCAGGAGTTTCCAACAGCTCATCAATTTCCGAAACTAGCCTTAAATTTCTACCAATGACTGAATATTTTCTCTCTCCCATTCGGTTTATTCCTTCTCCTTTGGGTACTACTCTTTGCGGTTTTCACTTGTTTCCCTCCCATAATTTTTCCCGTATAATTGCACAAACCCCCAATGATATAATTTTTTTATTTCCCAATTTTCAGGCCATCCTTTCATTTAAAATGTTCACGACTTTAAATGTTTTCCTCACTCTTCACTTAGATCTATTTCTACTAAATCTTTTACCTTATGTGGAGGTGGGTATTTTTTTTAGTATAAGCACAGCTTGTTAATGTTTGGGTTTCCTGCTTTTATCATCAGGAAACCCAACCATCAAACTTTTTTTAAGATGTACATTACGAATGAACCAAACAACCGAAATTCTGCCTGATGGACGGCTATATGAGCCACTTTTCATTATTTCCCTCAGAACGATATATTTTGTCGTGAGCATCGTGCGACTGCGAGAGAAAAAAATTCAGGGGATTCCTGCGACTCTCGCAGAAGTATTAATATCAAGAAATGAAGGCTACGAGGCGAGGCTCCACAACTTTATTTCTGATGGGACAGGCGAGTGGTCGATTTATTCCCTGGCTTTGACGGCGAAGCCGTGTTGATCTGAGTTGAGAGTGATCTTCTTGTCGCCAAAACACCCTCGCCGGTAGGACCTGACCGTAAAGATGCCGTACTCGTCCAGATCCGCAGCGAATCCCACGTACTGTCCGGACTGGACCTGCAAGCAGGCTCGGTTCCCGCTGAAGTTCGTGGACCTAAAGGACGCACCGAAAATTTTTCAGTTGGGGGGGAAAAAATCTCGTATCCAGCAGAAGACGGAGACTTACGTGTAGACGGTCCAATAATTTTGGCCCGTGATGATGAGGGACCCCACCGTGGACATCCCGCTTGGCACTTGGGTGTTGTCCGTCCAATCGTAGTATTCGATCCCGAAGAATAAATCGAACTCGAAAAGTGTAATCGAGTCCATTTTCCAGTTGTCTTCGTCTCCGACAAACCTGCACAAAATTTGCATGCAAGAGACTTCCGCGGGGGTGCAACCTTACCGGGAATCGCTTGGACGCACCTGAGAGACGAGACTAGGTTGTTGACGTTATTCAAGTTATGCGCGAAGCCGTCTCCATAGACCCATTCCACTCTTCCTTCATTCTGGTAGTTGTAGAAGTATTCACTGTAGAATATCCAACTAGAAGCGAGAGAGCATCGAGAAAGGATGACCGAAACCGTAAATCTGCGTTTCATTTCGGATCTCGAGCAGAAATCATTCCAGTTCAGAATGTAAATTTGCAGGTACTGCCCGAAAACACCAGGGAAATAAGTGATTGCTTGCATCCGCTTTCGCGGATTTAAGTTTCAAATGTCCTTCAACAGTCAAAAAGCTGAAAAAAGCAGCTATACGGTTTTAATCGATTCCATTACCCCTGAAACTCGACAAGCAGGAGAGAAGCTGGTCTGATGATGGAGTCTGTAGTTCCAGTCTTGCAAGCTCAGCTTTAAAATGCTCTATAAGGCATAACAATCCCATAATGGATTCCGGGCTCTTCCGATTCGTTGCATCCCTTTCCCGGTCATGAACCTGGCCAATGAATCAGTACAATCCGGACACAGCGAAATAAAAGGGGATGAGAGTTCAATTGCTTTCTTCTATATCATTCGACTTAAAGTGGAGAATTTCCTTCTCTTCCTTCGGAAATTAAAAGGGTTGTGCCCCATACGCTGTGTGGATTGTTATGCAGGACTTGCATATGTACAACTGCACGTGGGAACGATAGGACTAAAAGTGCGGATAGTTGGTGAAGGTGTGGTCTGCTTTCGAATTTCTGCATAATAATAAAAAAAATTGTAATAAAGAGATTTACACGATTAGCACCATGATTTTGCTGTTTATAGCTGGCGAATCACTGGATCCACTTTCACGCGTCGTGCAGAATTCAACCTGCATTTTTGTCAGCAAATGCTTGCTTGCGAAACCCACGTTTTGACCACTTAAGCTTTTGACCTGACTTCCCAGATTTTTCCCCCACCGGAATCGTCTGAGCGAATCTAATGACCCAGACGAACGCGTCGATTCATTGGAAGCAGCTCCTTTAAATGCTTTCCATGCCTCCATGGACAAAAACAGGAAAGAAGAACACCCTAGCTAGTATTGTAGTTGCTAGTTGATTGCAAGTAATAAGGAAATGGTCAGTATACTTAACGAGTTCTTCGTTTCCGTTTTCATTGTCAAATCCGACGAAGCACCGAATTTGGAGGTGACCTCGGCGCCCATCGAGGATATTTCCATCACCGAGGAGACGATCATGAATATGGTACGGAAGTTGGCGGTGGGCAAGGCGACCGGCCCCGATGGGATTCCTGCGAGAGTCATTAAGGAAACCGCGAGAGAAATATCGGTTCCGCTAAGAATTATATTCGATAGCAGCTTCTCGCGCGGGGAAGTACCTAAGGACTGGAGACGAGCAAACGTCGTACCGATCTTTAAGAAGGGCGAAAAGAGTCTAGGTCCTTTAATGTCCGGCCATTCAGAGTGCTCATAGGGTCCCTTCTAGTACCTCTCGTATGATTCCCTGGTAGAGAACCTAAAGGAGCTTCCTTTGCGCGAGTAAGCCCTGAGAGTTGTGCCGTTTAGGAGGCGTCGAAATTGTCTCACCAATTTGCTCGAATTCTACGACTGGGCGACGGAAGAGAGGGATAAGGGGAATCCCGTGGACATCGTCTATTTAGATTTCGCGAAAGCTTTCGATATTCCTCGAAGGAAACGCGCTCATTCGGGACTATCAACACGGCTTTAGGAGGCGTCGAAATTGTCTCACCAATTTGCCCGAATTCTACGACTGGGCGACGGAAGAGAGCGATGAGGGGACTCCCGTGGACATCGTCTATTTAGATTTTGCGAAAGCTTTCGATACTGTTCCTAACAAGAGGTTGCGGGTTAAACTAGGGGCGCACTGGATACAGGGTAGGACGAATGAGTGGATCGGTAGCTGGTTGGCAGGACGAGAGCAACGGGTGATGTTAAATGGGGAGGCGTCGAAGGAGGTCGGAGTCGCAAGCGGTGTCCCTCGAGGCTCGGTCCTTGGACGGCTTCTGTTTTTGTTCTACATAAACGATTTGGACCTCGGCGTAGAGGGTAAGATTAGTCAATATGCCGACAACACCAAGATAGGTTTTACCATAAGGGGGGGAGGCGGATAGGGCTCGAGCCGAGCGTGATTTAAGTCTTTTGGACGAGTGAAGAAAGAAATGGCTCGTGAGGTTTAATAAAAGTAAGTGTAAAGTTCTCCACGTCGGTCGTAACAACAATGAGGTAGAGAATAAGAAGCTGTTGGCTTGCATACTACAGATACAGTTCGACATTGGCGGTACTTGCCCTGATGGGAATGATTCAGCAGGCTTATATCCAACCCTTCGACGATTGGTCAGGCCTACAACGATCTTTAATATTAGCCACCTTAGCTTTAAGACTCTCAAGTGGCTTATGTGGTTCATATGGCTGCTATTACTCCAATTTTTTTAGTGATTGATACGCTATTAAGAGTGCCTCGACCATAGACAGGAATTGCATACACCAATGGAGCACTAAGCGGCACATTTACAATTGTTAATTGGTGATCCTTATGCTAAAAATGACATGGCGTCATTAATAATATGTTCTTTAACACCTTTACTTTAAGGTGCGAGTATTGAACCCATGAACAAAGGAGTTTGATCGCATTAGTAGGGGTGAGCATCGAAAACAAATGACTTAGATCGCAGAGCGCCGAAGGTGCGTCCTAGTGTATGTATAAATGTAATGAAGCGGTTCAGGTCTGAATGGGTAATGCAATGAACAGAGGATTGTCAAGAAGACGTTATGCTCACAATAGAGGATTCAAAGTTCCACATACTAGACGGCCAGCGTAGCGGCTGCAGGCCGCTAGTTATCGTTTAAATGATAGACGAAGAGAATGTCTTCAGGTGATTTCATAGTGCCCGCAATATCATTTTGGATTGTTTAATCAATCATATCAAGACAAGGAAAATGATTCCAAGGAAAGTGACAAATAATGCGAAACTCATCATATTGGTCCCCCACCCATCATCGGGAATATTCTCACCTGTTGGAGTGGTCCTACGATAACTTTCTCTTTATCAGACTAATAGTTGTTTAGTGCCTAGTCGATTTCTCGCTTGGTCGTAGTCACTGTCTTCTTGTGAACCAAAAGCAGACGCAAGTATGAGGTAGCTCTCTGCAATCGCATGAGGGACAGAATGATAAAATGTCATTATGGGAGGAGCCTACTCGTAATGTGATGCACATGTAGGAATTTACTATCTACTTGTTGACATTCCCCGGAGTGAATTTTTTCCATGCATCGTCCTTCTCCTGGGGCAATCTTGAAACGTAGTGACTGACGTACTTCTTCGCTTCTTCCTGTTTCACACTCTTCCAATCAGGGGCAACAACGATCTTGAAGTCCTCCAGACCTGGAATATCCTTATTTAGAGACAGTTTCACAGGAGGAAATGAATTCCAGCCATCCAACAACGACAAAATCCAATGAGTATATTGTGGAACTTTTCCTTCTTCTCACGTGGGGTAATGATAGGAGAATAACTTCGGCGGTAAGGTTGGAGTCATGTGGAAGTTAGCCCATATCCACGTAGGCGAATTCTTGGATGCCTTCTTCAATGTAGGCCATGATCCCCATCCCGACAGCAACGACAATGGACTTTAATAAAAAGAAAACAATAATGAAGATGGTTTCAGAATTCTTGGCTCTTGGAAGAATGAAAATTTTCATGAACCGACTCGCAAGGAAGCTTTATTGGATTTAGTTTTTGTGACGAACGACGATCTGGCACGAGACGTTAAGGTACAGGATTACTTGGGATATTTCGATCACTACGCGATGACGTGAAATATCAAGCGGACGAAGAGTAACGCCAAACCGAGGAAGGTTTCGTACAACTATAAAAAGGCTAATTTCGAGAGACTACGCGAATACGTTTCAGGCATCGACTGGGAGGTGCGTCACCGTGGGCTGACGGTAGAGGAGCAGTGGTTGGCGTTCAAGACGTTATTCCAGGGCTTTATGGAGGAATGCATCCCCAAAAAATCCATAAAATCGGGCGGGCAACCGGTCTGGTTTACAGGTAAAATCAAAGCTCTCATCAGGGATAAAAAGCGGAAATGGGATGCTTACAAGCGAACGGGAGATACCACGGACTATGAGGAATATAGGAGGATCACGAGGACGTTGAAGAGGGAAATTAGGTCTGCGAGACGAGGAACGGCTGGTTAGCGAAGCTAAGAAGAACTCTAAGGCTCTTTATCGGCATGCTAGTGGTAGGTGTCAACAGTCGATCGGGCCACTAATGAACGAAAAGAGGGAGTTGATTGCAAGTGATAAGGATATGGCCAGTATACTTAACGAGTTCTTCGCTTCCGTTTTCACTGTGGAATCCGACTCGGCACCGACTTTGGAAGAGGTGACCTCGGCGCGCATCGAGGATATTTCCATCACCGAGGAGACGATCGTGAATATGATAGGAAAGTTGAAGGTGGGCAAGGCGACCGGCCCCGATAGAAGTTGAAGCGGGAAATTAGATCTGCGAGACGGGAGCGAGAGGAACGGCTGGCTAGCGATGCTAAGAAGAATCCTAAGGCTTTTTATCGGTATGCTAGTAGTAGGTGTCAACAGTCGATCGTCGCTAATGAACGAAAAAAGGGAGTTGATTGCAAGCGATAAGGATATGGCTAGTATGCTTAACGAGTTCTTTGCTTCCGTTTTCACTGTGGAGTGCGACTCGGCACCGACTTTGCAGGAGGTGACCTCGGCGCGCATCGAGGATATTTCCATCACCGAGGAGACAATCGTGAACATGATAGGGAAGCTAAAGGTGGGCAAGGCGACCGACCCCGATGGGATTCCTGCGAGAGTCATTAAGGGAACTGCGAGAGATATATCGGTTCCGCTAAGAATTATATTCGATAGCAGCTTTTCGCGCGGGGAAGTACCAAAGGACTGGAGACGAGCAAACGTCGTACCGATCTTTAAGAAGGGTGAAAAGAGTAATCCAGGAAATTACAGGCCGGTAAGTCTCACGAGTATCCCAGGGAAGATCATGGAGAGCATACTAAGGGACCATCTCTTGGATTTCCTCGAAGGAAACGCGCTCATTCGGGAC